TAGCTTTAATAAGTTGTATTTATGCATAATTATTTGTAATTTTGAAGTTTATGTAATATGCATTAATATACAGTACTTCATACATAAAAAATGATTTTTAAAAGTTTTTGTCAAATGTTTTATAATATAGTATAGATTATTCAATATTTGTCGAAGATAATCTTCGTTCCTATTTATTCTAACGAATTTTTTCGTTAATCAATTTACCAACGTATTAAAATATTATATTTTGCCTCCATTTGATTGGCGACATGCTCAAACAGTAATATTTGACAGCGTTGAATGTCGATGTCAAGTTTATCATCTTATTTACGGTAACTCTTTAATATTTATATTTACATAACGTATCTGAAATTAGTTTTTTTCTTAACGTACATAGTTTGGCAACGGTTTCATTGGGATCTCATGCTACAAAATTTAGTATGGAACGAATATAAAGGAAACGAGTGATGATATGACATACCATTGCAAGTCGATAACTTTATTGTCGGCACGCTTAGCTTAAATTTCATCCTACTTCTGCTCGAGAAATCGTGTTTGAAAAGCAAAACGCCACGAAGAATAGTTGCAATTTTTTGTGAACAGAATTCGAAAACGAATGTAAATGGAAGTGAAGTTTTGAAGGTAAAGAGATGAGAAATTGAGGGTTTTATAGAAGAGGAAGAAGCCTTTGTTGTTTTGGTTTGGTGTTGCTTGGAAGCATTACAAGTTTGATTTTTGTTCGCAAGTGTAAAATGGTGAAAGTGATGAAGACTTATCGGTTTATCCTTATACCGTACGATAACCAAATTAAGATGAAAAGCAATTTATTTGGAAAATATATCTATACTATATTATAAAGAATTTGATAAAAACTCTTAAAAACCATTTTTAATGTTTGAAGTACTTTTTTTATTAAGACAAATTATTTAAAATATAAAATTATAAGTAAATTGTACTTAAGTACAACTTATTAAAGTTTTATTTTTGAATTCGTATGACTAACTCCAGATAAACATAATTAAATACAAGATAAATATTTCATTTTAAATATAAAAAATCTAAAATATAATTAGAATAATTATTGAGTTTTAACAGAATCATTATCTTTATAAAAAATTATATTGTTAAGCCAAAAATAAATTATTTCACTATTAAACATAAATTAAATTATAAAAAAATTGAATTACAAAAATTGTACGAAAAAACGAGAACTTTTAAATAGTTAATTTGATATTAATGTCGATATATTTTTCAATTTTTTTTGATATCTTCAAATTTATTTTTATTCAAAAGTAAAAATATTATCTTTTTGAAGCTTTTGATAAACGCCCCTAAATTTAAAGAAATTGACCTTGTCACTATTTCATTATATTAGATTATAAAATTTTAATTTTTTTAAAACTTTTAATTTTTAAAATAATACAAGTAATAAGGTATTAGAGGTGGTTTATTTATCAAACTATCTCATCCATATAATCCATACAACTCAATCAATTGAAATAATTATGAAAATAATAGAGATTCATTAATTATGATCAACATTTTATATTAAAAAAGAATCAAAACATTTATGAAACATATATTAATTAGAGTATATGAATGGTTCATTTATTATGTTTGAAAATTTATATAATATGATTATATAGTTCATTTATTATGATTTGAAAATTTATATAATATAGTTATAGTTCATTAATTTATTATGATCAATATTTTATATTAAAAAATAATCAAAATATTTATGAAGCATATTTATTAGAGTAGATGAATGGTTAAGATTTAATTATATAAGTTATACAAATAACAAAAATAGGTTATATACAAATTAATGACACATATAAATTCTATCCATTTTTATAACATTCCTATGTTACTTCTTCTATAAACAATAAACGGAAAGTCATATGATCAACGGGTATTAAGTTTTGGAAATCCACAAACTTATATCAATTTTAAAACTAATCTAAATTATCTAAAAAATAATTAATTTTTTAATTCAACAAATTATATAAAAAAAGGATATTTTATTTTATTTAGTTTGATAATATATATATATATATATATATATATATATAGACTTGGGATCATGTGAGACCAGCCTGTTTTCGTGAGACCCGTGAGACCAGCATTTTACATGTAAACTTCACAGCAAAAATGTTGTGAAGGTGACTTTTTAAAACCTTCACAGTGTTATAAAAATGGATAGAATTTATATGTGTCATTAATTTGTATATATATAGGGTTGGGTTCACGTGAGACCAGCCTATTTTCGTGAGACCCGTGAGACCAACATTTTACACGTAAACTTCACAGCAAAAACACTGTGAAGGTTTAAAAAAGTCGAACCTTCACAGCAAAAACACTGTGAAGGTTTTAAAAAGTCACCTTCACAACATTTTTGCTGTGAAGTTTACGTGTAAAATGCTGGTCTCACGGGTCTCACGAAAATAGGCTGGTCTCACGTGATCCCAAGTCTATATATATATAGACTTGGGATCATGTGAGACCAATGGTTTTTCATGAGACCCGTAAGACCAATTCTCAACCATTGGATTAGATTTACAATTGTCAGATCTAAACATTCATAAACGCCACGAAACTTCTCAATAATTACAAAATTGTCATCTTGCAACTTTAGATCATTAGATCATTTGATTATAAAGTTGATCAATGAACATAAATTGGTCTTACGGGTCTCACGAAAAACTCTTGGTCTCACGTGAACCCAACTCTATATATATATATATATATATATATATATATATATATAGAGAGAGAGAGAGAGAGAGAGAGACTTGGGATCATATGAGAGCATATTGTTTTTGTGAGACCCATTAGACTACTTTTTAAACTTGAAATTTCACAGTAAAACATTGTGAATTTTCAATTTTTTTTCCGTTCACAACATTTTGTTATAAAACTTTAAGTGCAAAAAATGTGGGTTCACGTGAGACCAACATATTTTTATGAGACCCGTGAAACTACATTTTTACACTAAAATCTTCATAGCAAAATGTTGTGAAGGTAAGAAAAAAGACAAACTTTCACAGCAAAAAAAACTATGTGAAGGTTACCTTCACAGTCTTTTACTCTGAAATTTCAAGTGTAAAAATATTGTTTCATGTGTCTCATGAAAACAATCTTGTCTCACATGATTTTAAGTGTATATATATATATATATATATATATATATATACACATATATATAGGGTTGGGTTCACGTGAGACCAAAGGTTTTTCGTGAGACCCGTAAGATCAATTTATTGGGAACCCATTAAATTGTGATAACATTGATAACGTGTGTTATTTTATATGATTTTTTTTCTATATAGACATACTATTTAATGTATTGATTAATGTATTGATTAACATATATTTGTTTTACAGTGTGTTTGATTTATATGTATTAATCATTTCACAATTTGAAACTATTTTCACGTATATTTTGTGTTCACAAATACGTAAAAAAATGTTCACATTATAAACCACACATGTAAAACAAACACATTGTAAAACAAATATATGTTAATCAATATTGTCAATTCTAGTCTTAGACGAAAACAAATCATATAAATTAACACATGATACAGTTATCACAATTTTATAAGTTCTCAAACGAAGGTTTATATAAATCACAAGGTTTTTGGTATTGTGACAAAAGGAATATTTTTTTGTGCAAGTCATTTATTACTTGAAATAGAAGATGCAAAGGAATGGATAAGCGACGACGTTTTGGAGGCAACTTGAAAGCAATGTATTCGAATATCTGATGAGTGCATGACTTCATTATAAATACACCATGGATGATGGATCTGGTCCTTGAGGTGTACCCAAAAATCATGGATTAAATTCCTAAAATAAAATAATTACTTGTTATGTGGTTTATTTATATTACATAAATAAAGAGAACGTTTAAATGAGAAGTCTTAAAATTTTAAAAGCACGAGAAATGTAACACCCCCATACTCCACATTTGCATAGAACATATATTTCATTACATAGAAACATGGATTACATCAAAAGGTCCCACTAGTACAAGGATTGCTATATGTACAAAATCTACACATAAAATTTTCAAAACAAATCATGTACTACTACATGTAATATAACATGTATCCTTCCAAAAGCAGACAATAGGTTAGGAAAATAATCACATTTTCCCTTTCCCTTTTATATCCCCGGACCCAGCTATTCCTGCATCGCATAATTTAAAACAGAAAATGAGGGTTAGACCATACGGGTCTAGTGAGTAAATCCCTTATTTGCAAATGCAGGGTGATGAACACCAAAATATGATAATGTAATCTTGGTTTAGAAATATACTGCAATATAACAATTGATGCAGTTCACAATATCATGCATAAAGAAGTATATTCAAGAACCTCACTTCTTTAAAA